GTCTCTGTGTATTTAAAATCTGTTTGAGGAGATTAAAAATTAGTTAGAGCTTGTATGCAGGACAGTAATCTGGGTGGTCCGAGAGTGGACCTGCAGTGGCAAACAGTCAGCGGGGGTCTGACCTTATTAAGCCAGCGGACTGATATATGCTTGCTATCAGGGAGTGCACATGAAGCAAACTCCAGACACCAAACGTGTCTTAACTGATTTACTGTACTTGGTTTGGGGCGGGGGATTGTGCAAATTGTATGTTGCACCAAAGCTAGCCTTGGTTCAACTTGGACAACTTATTACACAAACACTGGGCATTAGCATTGACCTGGAGTGGTCAGAAATGGGGCTATTAAGTAATCTCTAATAGACTTGCTTATGTGGTTTCTGACACTGTATGACACACTGTTATCTATAAACATGAGCACAAGCTAACAAGATGGCTGCTACTACTGTGTTTAGCAATGCTGATGTGCTAGTGTTCGTGTTTATAAATAGCAGTGTGTGATACAGTGTCAGAAATCACATAAGCAAGTTTATTCATGATTACTTAACCACTGGACAGACTGTGAGGCAAGCATAATGCTAAATGGGTGTATAATTTCCATTACTTGTTAGCTACAGCCTTGTAGCTCTAGCACAAAAACTAAAGAAGCAAACTTCAGACGCCAAACGTGTCTTAATTGGGAAAATTGCATGTTTCACCAAAGCTGGCCTTGGTTCAAGACAACTTATTAGACTAGCACTGGGCATCAGCATTGACCTGCTTGTTGCTGCTTGTTCAGGAATCATTTTGAACGTGAACTGATGTGATTTTATGTCACGTCTACATCAATATACATGTATGCATATTTTCAAAACGTTGTTTATGTGGATGCATGCCAGTGGTCACCAGTGGATGTTGGGTTTTCAAGTAATCTCTAATAGACTTGCTTATGTGGTTTCTGACACTGTATGGCACTCTGTTATCTATAAACATGAGCACAAGCTAACAAGATGGCTGCTACTACTGTGTTTAGCAATGCTGATGTGCTTGTGTTCATGTTTATAAATAGCAGTGTGTCATACAGTGTCAGAAATTATATCAGCAAGTCTATTAGTGTCTGAATTTTGCTCCTTTAGTTTTTGCACTGGAGCTACGAGGCTGTAGCTGACAAGTAATGAAAATTATACACCCATTTAGCATTGCACTGGCCTCAAACTGTGTCCAGTTGCGAAATAATTGCAAATAGACTTGCTTATATGTGTCATACAGTGTCAGAAATCATATAAGGAAATCTATTTGCAATTATTTCACCACTGGAAACAGTTTGAGGCAAGTGCAATCCTAAATGGGTGTATAATTTCCACTACTTGGCTTGTAGCTCCAGCACAAAAACTAAAGAGCCAAAATTCAGACACCAAATGTATCTTGGCTTATTGACTACTTTCGGGGGTAAAAAGAGAAACTGTGCAAATCTGATGTTGCTTTGTTCAGGACACTTTAACAGACTAGCACCGGGCTTTAGCGTTGACCTGGGCTGGTCACAAACTGTGTCAGCCAGAGCGAAGGGAGCATGCATATTGGTCATTTGAACCTGTGGTAGTTACCCAACAGTTGGCCGCGATGCTCTGGCTGCTGTTATGAAACCAAACCAATCATCCGCTCAAGAGCTGCTGAATCATTCTAACACCATCGCAGTCAAGTGGCAATCTGGGTGCCAATAAATTATGGACAGAAAAAAAACACTTTGAATGACTGCAGTATTACACTACAGAGTTCTTGTTTAGAGACTGCCTCTTTTTAGTGAACTTCAAATTTATTACACTGGCTATTATATAACTCTATAAAATGAGAGTGTATATGAGTTCAAATGAGTCTGATGGCTTTGAGAGCTGCTCTTTGTAAGCTAGCGCACTTTGCTCTTGATTTCTCGTGCTTTTCTGCATTACTTTGTTCTAAAATCTACTTGACTGTAAAGCATTCTGAAAGCATATTCAAGTTAGAGAATCAGTGCATTCATACCTAATCATTTTTATTCATGCTCGCTGTCATGATGGTTTTAACATCATTGTTGCTGCTTGTTCAGGAATCATTTTGAACGTGAACTGATGTGATTTTATGTCACGTCTACATCAATATACATGTATGCATATTTTCAAAACGTTGTTTATGTGGTTGCATGCCAGTGCAATCAAAGCTTGCACTAGATGTTAATCTATGACTGTATGATTCTATAAAATGAACTGAAATAAAGCTGACCCTGTTGAGCCCACTCAGCTTGATTAAAATGATCAGGCTAGTTCCTGCCCTGCTATTAAGATATAAACGACAAATGATAGAGCTCTCTCAGCTAAACCACTGATCTAACACACCATGTGGTATTTTATTCTCCTATTCACACATACACATTTAGCCTCCAGAGTGTGAATTATACAGTGACAGGGGGTTGCCGTTTTATCCCCGCTGGTGATTGGACAGGGATCCTAGCTTCATATCACACAGGTTTGTGCATCAAGTAACCTACACATGTATCAAAACTTACCCATGATGGACCATGACAGGCTCCTGAGGGGCTCCTGAGTCTCCATCTAAATGTTGACCCTATTCTCAGGAGGTCACAAGTTTGATCCCTGGAGATGCCACAGCCATCCATGTCTGGGAGGCCAAGAAATCATAATCCTCTCTCTCTATCTCTCTTTCTCTCTCTCTGGGTGGGAAGGATGGTCATTCATCACCCCCCCATCACTCAGTGCAATGCTGACCCAGACGAGTGTCTGTTAGCTGATGCAACAGAATTAGCAATTAGTGTTCTCCTCCAAGCGTGTTGAGCTGTCCAATGAAATTGTCTTACAATTTGTGTGAAATAATGGGGTGCCAAATCACAAGTCTCAGAGGAAGCATGTGCCAGCCTTCACCCTTCCAGCTATATAGATGTGGCGTGTGTCACATTTGACCCGGGTGGACGAGCTGCGAAGCGTGGGCGGTGACGGGGAGGCGGAGCAACAACCTCTCGTTCCCTCTCGGCTCAGGTGCCTTTTAGAAAGAGTAGAGAGGGAACAGAGAGAGGGAGAGAGGGAATGAGAGCTTGTTGCTCTGCCTCCCTGTTACTGCCCCTCCTTCGCAGCTCATCCGCCTGGGTTGAACTTAGATTGGCCTCACTGCAGGACCGGAGGCGGCGCCCCACTCACTCGCCGTATTCCTCTCCCCGCCGGGCTTCGTCTCCGCTCAGAGTTCAGGCCCCGCATTCCTGCTGGCTCTCGCAGCCATCATGGGGACACAGGGGGCGGGCGCATGCCACAGTAGCATCGGGTGAAAGGGGCTGACCTAAGGAGTTGGAAGGAGTGGGAGTTGGCCACAAAAAAGAGGGTAGAAAGTGACACAAAATATAAAATATAAAAATCTCCATCCATGATATGTTTTATTATCTACTCAGCATGTTACAGCTTTAGTTCTATTTTAGTTCTATTGTTTTCAATTGCTGCTCAGCTAATTCTTGCCAGTCACCTCTTACATAACATATAAAACTAATATAGAACAGAAATATGTAATGAAAAATTCACACTTGAAAAAGTGTCAACAAATAGTATGATCCTATGTGGCGTGTTCTAATTGCATTCTAGTTTGACACACCTAAAAATGTGTGTTAAATAATACAGTTTCTTTTTGGGGGGTCTAAATTAAGCAATCAATCCCCCACCCAATAAATCGCCCAGTAGTTCACACTCAAGACCTTCAGTTATGGCCTGAACCTGGAAGTTGGGGGCTCGTCCGGGACATGGGAGGCTTGTCCAGGACTTGGTGCTTATTTATGTGTTATTTATGTATTATATTTTATAAAATATATGACATTAACTTGTTTTTGGCAGTAATTGTGTTCTTGTAATATATTTTAATTTACAGCACTGTGCAAAAGTCAGAGACCAGCACTCTTCATTTATTTAATTTCCAGTCAAAACAGCCATTAAGTACTAGTTAGTGCATTAGTCATTCATTTTTCAGGAGATATTTGTGAAGATATTAGATATGAGATAATCAACATGCATGAGGAAGAAGAACATCAAAGAAAAATAACTGAGAAAAACAGGAATTTCCAAAACTAGAGTTCAAAAAATTATTAAAAGCTACAGAGAAAATGAGACTCCTAACAACCACCTGGAAGACCTGGTAGACACCAAAACTGCCCCCATCAGATAAACAGCACTTAAAGCTTTCATCTCTGAGAGAGAGGAGAAAATCAAGCTGCTTCAGATCTGAAAACATCCACAGGTGTTTCTGTCCATCCTTCCACTGTGAGAAGAACTCAGCGCTGTGGGTCTGAAAGGATGTGTAGCTGTCAAGAAGAACCTCACTGAGAAAAGGAGACAGACACATCAAACAAAGAAGCTGAACGATGGACTGACCACCCCAGAGTCCAGACCTCAACATCACTGAATGTGTTTGATTACTTCAGAAAATGATCAACCAGCTTCTAAGACTGAACTTTGGAGGTGTGTCTGCAGATTCTTTGAGAAACTGAAAGTGAGGGTTCTGATAAGAATGGAAGCTGTAAGCAAGGTAAAGAGTGGACACACAAAATACTGAAAAATCTGTTATTCTATTTAGTTGTTGAGGCTTCTGTGTGATAAATACGTGTCTTCTTTTTTCCTGACACTGAAAAATTAATAACTTGTATTTAATCTCCGTTTTGACTGGAAATTAAATCAGTGAAGTGTGTTCTCTGACGTTTGTACAATACTATAAGTAGAAATGATGATTTGAATTTAATAAATGCGTCACTTCTTTCAGTGTCGAGGGCTGAACATGAACTCAGACATAACACGTAGTGCAGCGTGGATCCATCAGAAAAGCACAGAATCTGCTGTGCGGTTTATCAGCGGGGGTGTTATGTAAAGGGTCTGCACTCATGCAGAGCGAAGAATATGATGATGCTGGAGGGTGAAGGATGGATATGATTGGATTATGGGATGCTGTGAAGCAGCCCTGCTAATCTCAGGTGTGTGTGTGTGTGTTGCCATGGTGATTGCAGGTTGCTCTCCAGGATGGCTGGCATGAAGGAGCAGCAGTTTATTGAGGAAAAGCCGCTACTTCCTGAAACAAGAGGACAGGACACGGAGATGGTGAGTGCGGTTGTGCCTGTTGCATTCAGATGCATCTAAATATAGCAGTGAGGCAGGACTGTGTGCGTCCCTTATTTTCTTTTAAGCGAGTTCTAAAGACTGTTTGTGGATGATGGTTTATCTCTCCGAGTCCTAAAAAAGCCACATTCAGCTCAGAACGTGCGGAACACTAACAGGATCCGAAAAGCATGAAATGTGGGGGCAAGAAAAACGTCATGTGAAAGGAATGATGTTGAAAATAGCACTTTTTTAATAAAAAGATCTGGTACTTCACGCTCATGTATGATGTGTGACAGCGGCTCCGTTCTGCTCAGAGGCCTCAGAACGAGTTTTTTATGGACCGGAACCGTCTGGTACTTTGAGCGTGAAGAATCCGAGCAGCACACAGTGAATGACGTAAAACAGAAAAGAGCGAAAGTGACCGGCATGCACTCTTACAGATAATTAAATCGACTGACCTGCAGAGCTGCTCATTACGCTGAGTGAGACAGTTAGAATACAATGAACAAATAATCATTATTATGAGGATGTGAGGATTATCCGAGTAATCCAGCAGAACTTAAAAAGAATGTCGCAGGTCTATAGGAGTGCAGAGTGTGATGATAATATGAAATATAAAAAAAGAAAGAAAATTAAGCTTTATTTGCTTTTATCTGCAATCCTCACCACCAGGAGCAGAAAGCTAAGACTGCTGGAACAATGTTTTCTATTCACAGTCAGTCCTGTGGTCAGAAACTGACCAATGATGAATGGAGTACAAGAGGGCTGATCAATTATGCACCAACAGATGGGCTATAGTCTGTAATTTCCACTTACATAGTGGACCCATAAGGTGTTCCTAATAAAGTGGCCAGTTATTAGAAGTACAATGTAGGTGTTTCTAATAATGTGGCCAGTGAGTGGAACTTAAAGTAGAGTTTCTAATAAAGTGGCCAGTGAGTTGAAGCACAAAGCAGATGTTTCCAATAAAGTGGCCAGCAGGGTTTCTAATTAAAGTGACCAGTTAGTAGAAGTTAAAGGTTTTCTAATAAAGTGGCCAGTGAGTGGGAGTGCAAGGTAGGTGTTTCTAATGAAGTGGCCACTTAGTGGAAGTACAAGGTAGGTGTTTCTAATAAAGTGGCCAATGAGTAGTAGTAAAATGTAGGTGTTTCTAATAAAGTGGCCAGTCAGTGGAAGTACATTGTAGGTGTTTCTAATAAAGTGGCCGGTGAGTGGAAGTGCAAGGTAGGTGTTTCTAATAATGTGGCCAGTTAGTGGAAGTACAAGGTGGGTGTTTCTAATAAAGTGGCCAGTTAGTGGAAGTACAATGCAGATGTTTCTAATAAAGTGGCCAGTGAGTGGAGGTAGAAAGTAGGGGTTTCTAATAAAGTGGCCAGTAAATGTATTTTGCCATTATGTGAAGCAGTAAAATCTTGAGAAAGCCTTCATTGCATCTCCATTTTTTGTTTATACAGAGATTCTATCACCTCACCAAAGATCAAAAGCCTTGGATGTTTATTCTGTGCCAGGTTGACCTTATTCCTCGACAAATCTCACCCTCCACATCCACAGAGGGCGCTGTTTGGCCTTTTGTTTTCTTTAACACTTTTTATGTGTAATGAGGCAGGCGAGAGGAGTGTGTGTGAATGCACCTCGTGCTCAACCCCACCCCCCCTCAGCACGCCCCGCCCACAGGTGGCACGACATCGCCCGCCATTGGCTCGGTGTGACACGCCGTCGGCGTCGGACCAGTGGGTACATCCTGGTAACTAATGCACAGACCACGCCCACCCCATTCTCCAATAGCATTGCAGTGATGTTGGTCAAATCTCAGTAAATTTAAAGTCATCTTTACACAATTTTCCCTCTTAGTAAGAGTAGGAGTCCTGATCTAGGACCAGATTCCTCTCTAGTTTCCTGTGACTTTATGGACAGGAACAGATCCTAGATCAGCACTCCTACTCTGAGAAGCTTTGGGAATATGGACCCTGATCAGCCAAGACACCGTCTAAGGTTTGCTTTCTTTCACACGCTTAAAAACAAAGGGTGTTTTGAGATGCCATAGAAGAACAACATTTGGTCCCCTAATATATATACACTGATCAGGTATGACATTATGACCACCTCCTTGTTTCTACGCTCATTGTCCATTTTATCAGCTCCACTTACTATATAGGTGCACTTTGTAGTTCTACAGTTACAGACTGTAGTCCATCTGTTTCTCTGCATACTTTGTTAGCCCCCTTTTACCCTGTTCTTCAGTGGTCAGGAGCCCCATGGACCCTCACAGAGCAGGTACTATTTGGGTGGTGTATCATTCTCAGCACTGCAGTGACACTGATGGGGTGGTGCTGTGTTAGTGTGTGTTGTGCTGGTACAAGTGGATCAGACACAGCAGTGCAGCTGGAGTTTTTAAACACCTCAGTGTCACTGCTGGACTGAGAACAGTCCACCAACCAAAAATATCCAGCCAACAGCGTCCTGTGACCACTATGAAGGACTAGAAGATGACAAACACAAACTGTGCAGCAGCAGATGAGCTATCGTCTCTGACTTTACATCTACAAGGTAGACTGACAAGGTAGGAGTGTCTAATAGAGTGGGACAGTGAGTGGACACAGTGTTTAAAAACTCCAGCAGCACTGCTGTGCCTGATCCACTCGCACCAGCGCAACACACACTAATACACCACCAACACAGAGAATGAGAATGACCACCACCCAAATAGTACCTGCTCTGTGAGGGTCCATGGGGGTCCTGACCACTGAAGAACAGGGTAAAAGGGGGCTAACAAAGTATGCAGAGAAACAGATGGACTACAGTCTGTATATATAAATGTAATAATATTTTTGCTTTTTATAGTTTTTGACATAATTTGAAAATGCCTGTTGCCCTTTACATTGTGGGTAAATGAATAATGGACCAAAACAAATGGCCCAAAATGACTTGGAAAAAAGTCTGGTTCCATTGACTGTGGGTAGACCTGAGGAGGGCTGTACACAGGAGATGCCCTCGCAATCTGACAGATTTGGGGCGCTTTTGCAAGGAAGAGTGGGCAAAGATCGGCAAGTCAAGATGTGTCATGCTGATAGACTCCTACCCAAAAAGACTGAATGCTGTCATAAAGTCAAAGGGTACTTCAACAAAGTATCAGTTCAAGGGTGTGCATATTTATGCAACCACATTATTTTTATTTTTCCAGTCTAAAAGATTTCAGTTTGTTTTTCAATGGAATTGTACAGATTATGGGTCACATTGAAGGTGGAAATAAATGTGAAATGATTAATCTTGGTCAGATTTTTTTACGTGACAAAAACCTGGCATTTTAACAGGGATGTGTAGATATACCATATTTATATATATATGTTAACTTTACAGAAGAAGGAAAACCTACTTTACTTTTAATGTAAGTCATTGGAACCAGACTTTCTGCATTGCATAGCCATTCAGAGTGGTGTGGTCATCATAGAGAAACTTACTGATGTTCTTTACAGTGGTGGTGATAGGAACCAGAGGTTGTGATGTCTACAACACAATTATAGCCATTTTATTTGCTATCCAAAACCACCAGTGAACCCACACATGTCTTCTGAGATTTCATATGAAATCCTGATGGTTAAATAGTGGTAAATCTTAAATATTAAGTTTTCTTTGCCGTACAATGATGCATGTATTTCTCAGACATGAAATGCATTAACAAAATCTCTACACGGAAAAAATAAACCTTATCCCTAAAGCAATGTCTCAGACGTCAATCAGTGTATTCATAACCAATTTAATTAATAACTTTCTGTGAGGGAGCTTTTAGAGGTGGACGTCTGGTTCCTATCACCACCACTGTGAACCGTTCTTAAATGTCTCTAGAAAAGAACATTTCAAGCCAAACCACTCTGAATGATTAAATTAGCCATTTGATTATGCAGATATTTTGAAAGGATAAGGGTTCTTCCTAGAACTTTTACATTGTGTGGAGTCTCCTAAACTTTAACAAAAGGTGTATACACTCACACACTTCACTTACAAACATGGTTCTCCAAAGAACCTCCTAAAAGTGGTTCTTCTATGAAGTTGCATCAAGAACCCCTTCGGGCTCCTTAAGAGTGTCGTTTAGCATTGATTGTAGGTTTGGGTGGCTATGAGTTTCCATTACTTGTTAGCTACATTAGCCTTGTACTTCAGCACAAAACTAAAGAAGCAAAATTCAGACACCAACCACGTCTTGGCTAACTGACTATGTTTGAGCCAAGGGGAAAATTCTGTAAATTAGATTTTTAACTGAATGGTCATTTTAAGGCTAGTAAAGAATAGAATGGAAGGAGTGGAGTTAACAGAGCTATTCTCCTTTTATTCATTAAATATATTTGATTTAACTCCACAGAACTGGGTGTTAGAGCAGGGTAAACAGTGGAAAGTCACTTGTGGTTTAATCTTGAAGATGTCCGGCCACTCCAACAAGAGGCTTCATGGGTTTAGATTTACATTTATGGCATTCGGCAGACGCTCTTACTCAGAGCGACTTACAATTTGATCAGTTTTACACAGGCAGGCGAAGGTAGTGTTAGGAGTCTTGCCCAAGGACTCTCATTGGTATAGTGTAGGGTGCTTGCCCAGGCAGGGGATTGAACCCCAGTCTACAGTGTAGAAGGCAGAGGTGTTACCCACTACACTACACTCACAGGAACATTCCTCAGCATTTAAAACAGCATTTAAGTCCAGCTGCCTTGCCCTACTACTAATTCATAATCTGATGGTCTCTAATCTGTGAAAACCTTCTCAGATTTCGCAAGGTAAATGCTAAATTCTGCAGCAGTGGAGTTTGACACCTCTGCTCTAAGGAGACATAACAAATCAGGCCTACAAGAAACATCTTCAAGATTATACCGCAGCTTATCTGATTCTCTATAAATCTCGTTGTGATTGCATTGCGTACTGTCAAGACAGACCTATGTGTTATTCAGACAGAAATAGAGGCATAAATACTCAGTAGATGATCTGTCAGATACTGGAACGTGAATGCCTCTCATGTTTTTCTGTACACATCTCATCAGATACTACAGATGAGTGAGATTTCCCTCAAAATCAGCTTATCTTATTGGCTAACTTTAATCAGACCACCATAAACATGAGAGTAGAAGTTCTTTCTCCAGATCAGACTCGCTTTGTAGCATTTAGCATGTGTGGTAGCGTACAGGCAAGTAGCAATGTGATCATAGACCAGCCAGTGTTTGACTCTGAATTATACACAGCGAATGTGCTCACAGAAGCTGTTAGCACATTAGCAAACAACTGATCAGATGACTGATCCCCTGCTGTGTCATTGGTTTTTGTTCAGGCTAGATTTGGCTAATACTAAACGCTTTGTCAGTTCTGGCTTGAAGCCTGCATCACCATCTACTCCAATGAACAGCAAAAAAGGAGCACATTTTCACTGGCTTTAGTCTGGAGATAAAGCTTTATGTAACACGGCGCCCTCTGTCCCAGCTCTGTGGTACTGCAGTGTGGTGTGAGGCCTCAAACCCGCTGGTCTGACTACAGTGTGGGCTCTTATCTTCTCTCTCTCTGCCAAGACAGAGTGGCTCAGTCTCCCAAAAACAGCTTCCAAAATGGTATTATATACTCGTTTAGAGGTCATTTGAAGTGAAAGGCAGCACTCGCTCTGCCACTTTTGTTTTTTTTTGATGATTTTGGGAAACTGGGTACTGGTCTGCATAACCGCTAATGAAAAAAAAGAAAAATCTAATTTATTGTTTTCCCTTTTATCCCGAATGCAGTCAATCAACCAAGACATTTGGGATCTGAAGTTTCTTTAGTTTTGGTGCTATAGGGCTAATGTAGCCAACAAGTAATAAAAGCTTATTAGCAATTAGCATTGTGTAAACTGCATGACAGTGGACAGAAGGATGGGCAGAATTCAGGCTTCAAGATAACTGCTACATTGGTCCACCTATTGCTGCCTTCAAGTCCTTGTCAGAAGTTCCTACTTATGACTTCAGAGGTCAAAAGTACGACATGATTTTTGCACTGCAAAAAATAGTATCTTGTCAAGTGAAATTATCTTAATTCTAGTCGATATATCTAAGACTTCTTATTTTGACATTTAAGCTTATTAAGATTATTTCAATTATTTCTAGACATTTTTTATGTTTTAAGTGGTTTTAGTAAGTCAATTTATCTCACTATACTGGCAGATAATTTAGCTAGTTTCAAACACATTTCTTAAAACAGATTAGATAGAATATTTTACTTAATAAAATGACTTAAAACAAGTAAAAATGTTTGGAAATAAGTTACATAATCCTAAAATAAGATTCAGACTCAGCAGGAGAAATAAGAAATTACATTTATTGACTAGATTTAAGATAATTTTACTTGACAAGAAACCATTTTTTTCAGTGTGCACAAGGATTTCCGTTGAAACAAGACGGATGCGCTGGGAGTAATGATTTTTTTGTCTTTTTCCTGTCGTCAAAGAGCAAGTTTATTTTGCATTACTGCAATAAAATTAAGAGCAGAGAATGTGCATTAGATGAGTAAAGGTTTTATCCAGTTAGAAGCATCACACATCGTGTATTGTATATTGTTGCTGTTTAAAAAATATAACATGTATCTCCAAAATGGCAACTTTACAGGAGGCTGCAAAAACATTCATACTTTGGAATGTAAGTTAGTGTAAAGATATTTTCTTCCACGCAATTTTGGAACATTTCTATTGTCATGAAATCACACAAAGGGCAGCTGCTGTGTTTAAATGATGTAGAATAAAAT